CTTGAGTTTGGCGTGATTCCTTGAGATTTGAGCTTTGACTTAATCTTAAGAAGAACGATCGTCTTACTTTGATAAGATCCTCGTTTCAAATTCTCACTTCGATAAACGAAGGAAGAATCATAAAGCCCCATTCACGATCTGTGATTCGGCGGTCCACGAGTCAAAGCGCTCACGGCAAAGGCAAAGTCCCACAAAAACAAAAATCGATAGACGATTTTTGTGTTAGTTTCTCAAAAGTTGTAATTTTCTCATTTTTCATTGTAATTCGTTATAAACGACTGAAGTTCAATAGATTATCAATGGAAGCAACTTTTGCTGAAAACATACACGCGTTGGACTTATTAAGAGTAGAACTCAGCCTAACCAGCTGTATCATAAGAGCATCGTCATCATAAAGAAGGGGAAGTAGCACATGCTACTATAATAATATATAAATATATCTAGGTCGATGCTCCACACGAGTGTCACTAGTCCAGCTTGTTTCTACCATATTAAACCACCATTAGAACTACGTATCCAAATAAGGGTTGGTTTGCCATTGTCAGTGACCTCATTTATGGACTTAACCCCATCTTCCTCGATGAATCTAGAATCACACTCCTGGATAGACCCTTTGTTGATGGGTCAATAAGATTCTTTTTAGACTTTACAAAGTCTAGAATCACAACTTTGCCTAACAGGCGTTATCTATATTTATCAAGTTATTTTATAACTAGCCCTTCATATTATTTGACATTTCCCTTCTTGTTTAAGTTATTTTTCAAATCAATTTTTCCAGGCAAAAGTACAAGTAGCAAGATGAGGGATTGATTTGAAACAACTTATAAGGATAAGGGAACCTAATAGTAATTTAATTATTTGATGGACTAATTTTAATATAATTTTTATTCATCATATAGATAGAAGTTATAAGACATACCTCTTGATTTGATTTTTCAGGATATTGATTCATCACATCTTCTGTAACTAGGCATACTAGTTGACAGAGCGTATTTATATCAACTCTAATCATTTTCTGAAATCTCAAGAGAAAACATTATACATGTAGTCAAATAAAAAGCTATAAAAATTAATCTTTCTAGTCACTATTAAAATGATAGGACATCAAAACATGTTAGCATAAAAGATCATGGTCTATGATCATCTATGTCTGAAGATGTAACTGCATAGGGTTAGAATTTTCCCTTAATATCTGAACATTTCAAACTAATGTGGAACTAAAATACTACAGTTATATCTTTACATGCATGCATATGCACGTATATAAATGAAATTACTAATAGTTACACGCAAAGCATTCAAGAGAACCTTATAATATGATTCCATATCTTAAAGTACATTTCACATTTCATATGCATAAATTTTAAATTCTCGTATTATAAGAGGTTACAAATTTGTTGTCTACAAAAGAGACCTTCTAAATTTAAATTGGTTGCATACAAAAGAGACTTTTCAAATTTAAATTTATGCATATGAATTATTCTCATAATTCCGTTTCTCTTATTCATGCTTGAATATAAAATGTTTCATATGCAATTATAACAATTATCGAATAAATACAATCACATAAGCATATGACGTATAAGCCCTATTTATATGAAAAATCCATATCGAATAATTTATAATAAATTAATAATATTACATATAATTGTAAAACAAAAGCTATAAATGAAAAGGTTTTTGTCAATACCACTAGACTAGAAACTTAACCAGATCAGCTTATTATCAAAAAATTCTAAAGTGAAAAGATCAAAGTTTTACCCGGGTAGTTTAGTCAGGTAAGGATAGTACTAGAGGGAGATCAAAGATCAATTAAGTACTTCGTTCCTTGCGGAGCACGTTACGCAACTCCTAAATCTTGCCTTAGACGCCAACTAATCTAAGAAAACTTGAACCGGTTCACTTAATGATTTTTAGTTCCTTAACAGTATATGTGAATAGTGACTGTTAACAATAAATACGTAAACAGTAACTGCAAAATAGTATCAGTAATTGTGAACAACAAATGCGTGAACAGTACTGGTGAATAGTTGTTTGCATTTTGAACAGTACTTACACTTTGACTATTTATAAATAGCACGATAAGTTGCTATAGTAACTGTCATGAATACTTAATTGCTACAGTGACCTTAATTAATTATAATTAATTACAGCAATTAAAATAAAGTAAGAAAACGGTTACAGAAACCGTATTTTCCTAGAATGAACAATAATTGCATTTTTATGAACAAGAAAAATAATTCTCTGATGAACAGTGCTCTATGTAAACAGTAAACAGATTTTTTAAAAATAAAATGAACAATAACCAAACTTTTTTTAAAGATAAATAGTAATAAAATTTTTAATAATAATTTCGGATTTAAAACAATAGCTATAAACTACTCAATCTTCTAGATTGTTAGAAATTTATCAAATCAAAGGTTATAGCACGCAGAATAAATTCGAAATAAAATAATAAGAAAGTCTGGCCTGATCGGGAACAGTCGTGTAAGCACCGTCCTAAAAGATTGAGGACCCGACTATCGCCTTGACGCAGATGATCCTCTCTCCCCTAGCGGTAAAAATCCTCGGAAGCAACCGACCTCTGTACTCGGGCGAGAGAACAGAGTTTCAGCTCAGACAAAGAATGGTTGCCCAAAAATAACACCAACATATGAACAAAAATAATATGCAGAGGAGAGAAGATGAAGAAGAAAGAATTGTTTCTGTATAATTCCGAATGCGAATAAGGGGTGTATATATAGGGTTGAGAAAGCCATTATATATAATCCCTACAATTAATACGGTAACGTTCGTCATAAATTTTCGTAACGCTCCCCATAATGTATAGCCGTTACGCATGTTTTAATTGTATTCATAACACTATTCCACGTGAGACTATTCATGAATTCAAAATTACCTTTTCTCCGACAAAATATCCAACAAGTAGAGCATGACGCATGTCTCTGGCTATAGATTGAAACCAGCTCGATCAGCGTATATGGTATCGACACGATTAGTAAATACCAGCGTCGTGAAAAATATTATATCACGGGAATCACCAATTCTAAAGTTCAACACATTCTACTTCCTCAGTGTATGAGTTTTTTTCCCTCCTGATCACAGATTCACATGGTGATAATAACTGGAATGATTACCTCGAGGACTAAAAGGTCATCGTGCAACATAAACAGCTACTTGCAGCAATGATGAAGCTTGTACTTTATAGGAATCAATCCGTAAATAAAAAACTCCAGACGACTACCAAGCTGTAAAAGAGGAAGGGGGAAAAAAAGCTCGAAACAGTATAAAATTAAGTCCCAAAGTGACGATGGTGGGATCTCGTCCTGTTTCAAATACTAGGCATGATATCAGAACACTCCATGTTGGGTGTCTGATCTGCAGAGTAGATAGGGACACAAAAATTATCATTGTACGCTCGTTGGTCCCCAACTGCATGGTCCAGAACACCCCGCGGTCGTGAGAAGGCATGTGGCCGTGCGGAGACGTTCGGATGTCGATGTCACGTGTACACTCCTATCTCAATCCCTCTCGGTTTCCGAATATAAAACTTACTCAAACCGAGTCGGAAAAGCCTTGGTTTTTTATGATGTTCGCTGGATTTTTTGAGTCAGAAGTCCATGTGGAGAGCAGGCAAATGATCAATCTTTGAGGTGCAGTGCGAAAAAGAAGAATATGATTTTTTTTTTATTTTTTTTTTTTTGGGGTACAAAGGGGCGAACATTATACTGTCGCTTCCGTTTGTTGTACACGTACCCATCATCTCAACTCTTTCTCTTTTCCCTTCACGTGTACATCGTTTCGCTCTCCTTCAACGTTGCTCTCAGTTGATGGGCACGTGACGAAACAGTGAAATCACCTAACACTGATTGGTTTACTGTTCGTTGGGGGGTCTCTTCAGCTAACATTTTATTTATTTATTTATTTATTTATTTTAGGGATTTTCCAGCAGCAGCCCCCGGGGGTCTCTTCAGCTAAACATCATTTAGAGAGGCGCTACAGGCACACTCTAATAAGGCACACCACCAACCACACTCCTCCTCTCTCTACAGTGCAGGGGGCCCCACATGTGATTAACTCCCACCCTCTCTACAGTGCAGCGGGCCTCACATGTGATTTTTTTATCACATGTGGGCCCCCCTGCACTGTAGAGAGAGAGGGGGAGTGTGGTTAGTGGTGTGCCTTAGAGTGTGCCTCTATCATTTCTTCATCATTTAATTCAGCTATCGAGGAACAATCTTATTTAGTAACTGGGGTTTGCACGCATCCTCTGAACTTCAAAGAAAACCGAGAAATCCATTTAAAAGGGAAAAATGATTACTAAACTTGCCCTCGTGATCTATTTTTTTGTTCCTATTTAGTTGGGGTTCTTCAACTAGAGACGAGCTATAAATTAAGCGTTCTTGTTTAACCACCTTGACAATGAATGGAAAAAAAAAGTGCATTTATGGTATTCTAAGCAATCATGTCGCCGTTTGATGATCCCTAGCTTCTAGGTTTTGGCTAAATGTAATAATGGGTGTCTAAGGGCACCTGTCAGGAAAACCCTATATTTTAACATGTTCCCGCAGATTGAATTGCTCTTCAATGGGACCAAATCTGGGCCGGGGCAACGATACAACCTTTACTTTAATTACGATCTGAGCTTGGATTGCTCTGACATCAGGCTAAAGATTCCGGCTCTGGAGTTTTTTTTTTTTTTAATGAGAGCTACTCAAACACGTTGGGACACCTTTTTGACGGACCGAAACCTGGACTCACGCAACGATAGTGCTGCGATAAGCGGCTAAAGAAAATTTAAATATGGGTTGTTCTATTTTTGGTTGTTACAAACGTGGCCACACATTGAAAGTACTGTTAGGGAGAGCACCATGGGCAGAATATGAGGGGGGGTCTTTTTGGGCTTTGCTCATAATGGTGAGGCTTTTAAGTTCAGTGTGTGTAGCAGAAAGACAGTGGCGGGTTTTAATAGGTGGTGGAATGGGGGGTAGAGAGGGGGAGGGAAACTGCCCATATCTATTGAGTTAGGTTTGTGGATTGGGTTTGAGAGGAAAGGATGGCCATCTAATTTGTTAGGGTTTTGATTGGGACTCATGATTATTTGATGATTTTTTTTTTTGTTGTTGTTTAAGATTCCACCCCTTGATTTTGCTAATTTCTTGTGTTTGGTGGATTAAGCAGATTTGGGGACCAGGGGAAAAGGGAACCTGGGCTGTTCTTGAAGGTAAAAGTTGTACTTTTTTTTTTATGTTTACCCACATGGGGATTTTTTTTTTTTAAATTATTATAGCATTTTGTTGCAGTTTTTTTTTCCTTCCTTCCTTCCTCCCCCCCTTTCCTGTTGGGGTACTTTTGACTAATCTAGGGTTGTGATTGAAACTAGCGTTTGTGCTTGAAATCTCCCAATAACACCTTGCATCTCTTGAATGCTTTTAGAATTTATGGGAGGAGGAGGACACTACATGATTTCTGTCTAGGGTTTCTTTTTGTGATGGATTGGAACATAAAGTCATGGGATTGGGAAAATCAGGAATTGCTCGATGGCAAGGGGACTGAGAGCTCCACCTCTTCCTCGAAACCAGGGGTGAAGATTTCAGGGTTTGGTTTTGATGCGGTTGGAGATTTCTCAAAGAGCGTTAACCAGAACACTGAGTCTAAGTCTGGCCTCGGGGAGCCGCCGATTGGCCTGAAGCTCGGAAAGCGAACCTACTTTGAAGATGTTTGTGCTGGGGGCAACACCAAGAGCTCAACTTCGCCGATCTCTCTGGCCCCGTCCGCCGCGTTAGTTAGGAAGAACAGGGTTACCCACCAGAGCGCCCTGAGTTCTAGGTGTCAGGTTGAGGATTGTGAGGTTGACTTAAGCGGAGCCAAGGATTATCATCGCAAGCATAGAGTCTGCGAAAATCATTCCAAATGCCACAAGGTGGTTGTTGCTGGTCAAGTGCGACGCTTTTGTCAGCAGTGTAGCAGGTGATGCTCTTCTCTTTTGTAATGAGGATCTATCGTTTTGAACAATGTTTGCTTGTAATATCCCATTTCAAGATGACCGTTGATCTTAATTCTAGCTAAGACTATGTCACTTGAGATTGTTAAATGGTGGCAATATCTGTTTCTCGTGTTTAAGGTTCCATGATTTGTCAGAGTTCGATCAGAAAAAGCGGAGCTGTCGGAAGCGTTTATCTGATCACAACGCACGCAGACGCAAACCAGCGTCGCAAGTAATCTCATTCAGCTCTCCAAGACTCGCTTCACCATTTTATGGTATTGTATTTCAAAAACTGGTCTTGTTATTTCAGCTCAATTTCGACCGCTGCAGTATTTTTTTAATCAAAGCATGACACGCGCCATGGCGCCAGTTGCCGTCGCCTGATGGTTTTCCTTTGTTGTTAGATTTACCCGCACCCTGTTTAAAAGTGTCGAAGGACCCCGTCGCTCCACCAGAACTCCGAAGTTATGGTGAGGGTTGAGGTTTTTAACGTTACACTGTTAACAAAAAGAAGCAATGTTCGGTTTGAAATTAGTTATAGTAAATAGCGTATCTTCCATATGAGTCACCAAGTTTAAGAGATTGCATCAAGAGATACTGTTTTCTGATTATGTGCTTCTCATAGAACGTATAAAGTCAGTTTTCCAAGGAGATGCTATTCCTTAGGAAAAACTATAGGTAGTAACACACCAGCAGATACTGGAGGTCAAAAATGTAACTTGGATATGATGTGACTGATCATCAGGATTTGCTGCTGTTCACTTAAAAGTCTGGGGAATAGATTGATCATTGAATGCTGAGGGTGGTCATTTAGATGGCAAAACTGTTATGATGACAAATATTGGTGAGGGTCTAAGAAAATAGGGAAATAGGATAATGTTATAGCTGTTCCGAGTTATCTGGTGTTGATGCTACCTAGATTGCCTGCGAAATTTTTTTATCAACATTAATATCATAGAAGGGATATTATTTCTGCTTCATCACCTGTGACTTGCACAATTGCAGTGGCTGGGGATTCTGGACCTTCAATTGTGATTCAAATCACTTAAACCTTGTGTAACAAAAACCAGATCACTAAAGTATGTTCGACATGATTCTTTCTTTTCATATGCGTAGGCGTTCATAGTATGTTTGCATGATTTAACCTGCTATAAAATTGTAGTCCTGTTCTTTGCATTAGCATGCATAGTGGATTTGAAACCTTAAAAGGGAAGTCGAGTTAATGTAGCATTTCTAGAAAATCGTATAGAGAGGAAGGAGCACATACCATGTATCCCACTACCAAGTCTAAATCAAAGCGATTAGAATACGATATCAGAGCAGTCGTAGTAGTGTATCAGTGCAATGACCAACTTTAAAATCCGTGTTAGACATGTGTCGCATTCTTGTCCGCGTTATATGATTTTCTAAAGAGGGGCCCCCTTTTCAGATTTTAGTATAGGATTTATTTTGTTATTTTTTATATTTTTTTGCCTTTTTAATCATGGTTATATACACAGATGGCCAGCAGCAAATGGGTTTTCTTTTAAATAGATACCCGTTTTCCATTATGAAGCCCGTGGCGAGCTCCACATGGGAAGAACCCAATGGGTTCAGCCTCACCCATTTAAAAGGGGCTTGGAATAATAAGCCAACAAAAGCAGGAGACATAAATGGACAGCTGAATTTTTCCGATTCTGGCTCATCAAGTATCGTTCCTTCTCTTCACCATGACTTTGACAGGCTCTTGCCATTCAAAGGAACCTCAGTCCTCAGTCAAGGTAACGCTTTTTGTTCCTTTACTTTCGCTTGTCGTTGAAGGATAAATGCATCTAAAATTATTGAAATCCTGATAAAGTAAGTACTGGCCTACAGTTATTGAACATTGCATTCTTGTCGCTCTTAAGAATGTAAATGTTATTATACACTTCCAAGTAACATTTGAAGTTATTGTTTGGGTTAGTTTCAGAAAACAACCCAAACTTTGGGGAACTTTAAGGGGAAGAAAATATTTTATGAGTTAGATTTTAGTCCTAAATACTTCTATTCTTGAAAAAAACGCAAAAGTATATTTAGTACTAGAACAAAGCGATAGTTTTTTTACGTCAAAAGGGGCTAGATGACAATTCTTAACATCGCACGTAGTATGTTGAAAGGTAAAAACATGGCACGGGACTTTCGGGCCGAAGCTGTTGCTTGTGCGATGTACTTGTGGAATCCGTGCCCAGAACAAAGTGTTTGTTTAGAATAAAACACAACAAGAAGTCAGACAGGAAGTGGTGTTCCCAGTGGCGGACGGGTGAATAAAGCATTGGGTCGAACTCTTCTTTCCTGTGAAGGTAATAGCTATGAATAGTCATCGACTCCTCATAAAGGGTAGAAGAACGGGACCATGTTCAGGGACTAGAAGAACAGATAAAAACACACTAGTCAAAGTTCTCTGAATCAAGATGTTGCACTGTGATTAGATCGTCTACTCTGATGTTAAATGATATTTTTCATTCCAAAAAGAAGGGGGGAAAAAAGAAAAAAAAGACATTTTTACGATCAGAGGACAAAGAGTGTCTGCATCTCTGAGCATCATACAAATAAAATAAAAGTACCACGTCACATTTTAGTTTCACACTTTCACCTCACTTCCGGGTTGCTAAACACCCTCTTATGCTTTCAGATCCAGTATGGGATGTTCTTCTTACTGAACCATTTTCTTCGGGTTTTTCAGGCGCAGAAGCATGTACTCATGCTTCAAACTTGGATGGGATGTCGGACATCCGGCGTGCTCACTCTCTTCTGTCATCTGATTCTTGGGGTTCAGCGAACCCCGATCAGTTAAATACTCCACATTTTGGAAACATGAGCCACAACGGTGCACTAGATGCTAACTCTTCGTCATACTGGCATACCCTGGCTCAACAGGAACAGGTTCTGGCATTTGAATCTTCATTCTTCGACGCTGGCCAGATGCTTTCTAAGCCAGATGGGCATTTTCTGGAGTTCAAGAGTTGAGGTTAGTCCTGTACTTTAAACCTGAAGTGATTGAATCTACAATCTCATGTTTTGTGTGTGTGGGATATTTGCGTGCAAGCTCAATGTCGATCTTAATAAATTTGTTGTACCGAAGAGACTTCAAGCATTTTCGACGTCTCTTTTTATTGCATTACACTGCCCGAAGCGACATACTTTTCTGTAATAATGTTTCTTGACTTAGTATCTGCTTGTATCAGTGTGTGTTATATGTATTTCGCTGTTACTTGGACAATGCTCTATGAAGGCATAAGAATTTTGTGGGAATTCAATGCATGCTTAGCCATCGAGTATGACACACGTCACGTGTTGAGGGCCGTCCATAGAAAATCATATAGAAGGAAGAACAACACGACGTATGTTCCAGCACAGATTTTAAAGTTGTTTATTGCGTTGGTACATTATTCTGATGCCATTGATCTTGCGTGGCGTGCCCTAAATTTAAAATTAGTGATGGGACATATGTCACGTTCCCGTTGATCTCTCTATAAATTTTTGGGTTTTGCTATTTGTCACGCGAGATGGGCGCGCAGCCCATCTCGCGTGACAAAAATCATTTTCGTAAATTTTTATAGAGACCAAGGGGAAAACATCCTCTACGTGCTCAGCTGAAAATAATACAGGAAGGATAACAAGAGGTATGCAATCACAAACTTTAAAAATCTATGTTGAGATTTGTGCCTCATCCTTCTACCTCAACTGGTTTACGTTGAGACACTTGCGGGTGATGTTTGATAGTTTTATGATGAGTACTAATCTGCCCTCTGTTGTTTTCACTTATATTGGATTGGTGATATACATTGATTATTTTAAAGAATCCTTTACTATTTGCAGTTAGGAGAACAAGCGAAACTTGTTGTTGAGAGAAATCAGGCACAATCTGGAGTCGCCTAAACAAAGGCTAGGAATCAATTTTAACCAAAAAGTTTTAAGCCATTTAGCAATGACTTTTAATCCTATTTCCTCCATTTGTGAGTATAGTTCAGTCCTCTGCAAGATTCACTCAGTTGGTTCTATAGGATCTTCCACCACTTGTGGGCTAACTAGATCGTATCACAGCTACGGGCATCCGTAGGCTGACTTGGTCCAAGTCTGATAGTCATGACCTTAGTCATTCTTTCGATGGCTTCAGACTGCACATTGAACTTCACTTTTACTTAGATCACCACCTTATCTCTGATACCGTTTGTTGGGAGAGTAATCGATACTTGAATTCATATAAAATCTAAATGTTTTTTTCTCGTTTGATTCGGATCTTAAATATAATTAAATATAAGCGTGTAAGAGTTACCAATTTAAAAAATAATTTCTACGATGATATTTTAAATTCCGAAATGAAATTTAGACCTTTACTTGTTCATAGCAATTTACAATAGTCTAACCTCGTAGTTTATTTTTAGATCTGCCGTTGGTCTAATCGGCTTACGAGTCCAGTCCTTTTGATTTATAACCGTAATTTTATCGGAGTTTATAAGCTTCCTATTGTTTTTTATTAAAAAAGAATACCTTCAAAGTTTTTTCACCTCTCCTCTTTTCTTTTCTTTTCTTTTCTTTTCTTTTCTTTTTTTCTCTTTTTCCTTTTCCCTTTTTCAACTTGGGGCTTCAAACAAAACCTCATACGACCCTTTTTAAACTTGAGCCTAAGGATGTGCCTCTATCATTTTCTATATGGTTAATATTAGTAGGATATGCTAACTTGGGTGACGTCGCAAATGATCTTCAAAAAGACACTGATGCTAAAATCAATCCTTTTTTTAATATATTATCTATTTAGTATTTAAAAAAAGACGCTAGATTTCATGAAACTGGTATCTTGCTGGTAGCTTGTATCTATTTGATTATACAAGAAAATTCCAAATTCTCTTTGTATAAGCCAACAAGCGGGTTTGTTGAATGCTAGGATAAAAAGTAGAGAAAGCATACAGAGATTATATTAGAGCTTTTGAAGGGGAAATCAGTCAAACCCCTAACAAAAGAAGAGTATGTTTGCATTTGTATCACTAAATAATCTTAGCTTCAAATAGAGCACCTTCTCATCGGAAATTTATTAAGCCTTTTCTTTGGCTGCTCTTGAGATATTATTATTACCGCAAAGAATCGAGAGAGAAATCAATCATCGCTACTAATTATACTAATAATCTATACTACACATAAAAGAGGATTGTCTTGTCAAAACTTTGGATTTCTATTTTTACTCTTTAAAATTTTTTTAATAATTCTCAAATATATCATTAGTTATAATTAATCATTCACTAATTATATATAACTTCTTATTAATTATGCATTTCCTCGCTTTTCCTAAATCCTTTAGTAACACTATTATTATTTTTACTTAATTATGTTATATTGTTATTTTATAGAAATTTAAAATTTATCCCTAATTAATCTTCACATAATATTTAAAAATACTAAAATTTTAAAAATAATAAAAATTCATTTGGTTTATGCTTTGTACTTTTGGGTTTCACCTCTTATGGGGACTAACGGTTATCTTTCATCTTATTAGCATTTTAAAATTATAATAATAATATAAAATATAATTTATATTCATTATAATTGTTATAATATTAATAGTATAATAATTTTAACATTATTTTTAATTAATTAATTACAATATAATTTAGTAACTATACAATTTAGTAAATTATTTACTAATAGTGTAATAAACTAATTGTGAAATTAAAATGTAGTTACTAATGATATTATACTTATGATATGTATAGTTTTATTTAAAAATAAATAAATTATTTACTATATTATAATTATTTTAATAAATTATGAATAAATTATAACAATTATCCAAACTATAATAATTAATCATACAGTTCTTTATACATAATTTTATCGTATAATTTATTCATTTAAATAAAATTGTAACTGTTTAGATTTTATATTGCTATATAAATCATTTCAATATTTCGAAGTCAACAAAAAAAAATTTGAAAAACATAAAACAACAAAGATATACTCTCGTGCAAAGCGCGTGCGCTATACTCATAAAGTAAAAAAACCGATTGCATATTTTTACCACTTAACAAATCCTAGGACCTCTAATGTTGCTATAAAACCATGTAAATCTTTTCCCTGCCATCTCATCTTAATCAACTACCCTTCATACCTTGAAAATTTTCAATTTACCACGATATCATCTTAATCAACTACCTTTCATATTTCGAAAATTCCCAATTCCCTATTAATCATTGATTTCGTGCTCTTTTGCTAAAAGAAATATTTTCATCCTCCCTTTTAACGGAATCTAGTATGCATACAAAAACATTAAGTTAAATCCGATGGATCACACGAATAAACAACTAGTTTTATGTCAAATAACACCCAAAAATTTATTCTTTTTTTAGTA